GAGGGAACATTGGTCATCAGTGCTCATGTGTTTGTAGGACATGTCAGTGATGTTTCTTCCTTTTGACCTGACTCCATCTGCGTTTCCTGTAGGCATTGCTGGCCTTTTCACCATCTTCTCCAGCTTTGTATTCAGCACAGTTGTCATTCACTTCCTTGATAAGGAGCTCACTGGCCTCAAGTAAGGACACACTCGATAAAAAGGCCCTTTTTTCAGGAGCTCTTTCAGAAACTTGCGATAAAGAGTCTGATCCTGTCTTTCAGTGAGGCTTTGCCCTTCTTTCTGCTTCTCATCGACCTCTCCAAAGCATGCGCTCTCGCCAAGTTCGCCTTAAGCTCTAGTTCTCAGGTACGCACTATTATATTTAGGTTTTTATTGCCACATCCTAACAGCAGCTGAGAAACTGAAATATCACTCATATGTTTTCAGGATGAAGTGAGGGATAACATTGCTCATGGGATGGCGGTACTTGGACCTGCCTTTACTTTGGATGCTCTGGTGGAATGCTTAGTGATCGGAGTGGGAACCATGTCAGGTATGTTGGGTGCTCGCACTAGGAGAGACTAGCTTGTGGGTTCCTGAGCTTGTTTTCCACGGTTTCCATGAATGTCAGATACTGACACAAACATAATGTTTTACATGTAACCTGAAGCCACTTTTGTGTTGCTGTGAAGTAAGCACTGTTTGAATCATCTGTTTTCACAGCGTGCTGGAAGCTGTCGTGTATTTATGTCTGGTCACTTTAGCACCAGTTGAGTTTCCCACATGTTTTTTTTTTTCTTTCAAAGGTCTTTTTATTAGACAAAGGTTCCAATACAATGTATACAATAACACAAAATGCTTCAGAATATTCCAAAATTTCAATCTTGTTCCCACCCTAACCCTTAAAACAACAAATAATTGGCAGCCTGCTGCCCAAATAAACCAAAAAACAAACAGAAAAAAAACAAACAAAAGCAAAAAACAACAAACAGACTCATAAAAGAACATTTTTTTTAGACCCACGAACTGTATATCTAATTTTTTCTAAATCCATACAAGACATTACATCTTTTAGCCATTGTGTGTGTGAGGGGGGAGGAGAGTTTTTCCACTTCAGCAGTATTGCTCGCCTGGCCAACAATAATGAAAAGTTTAATGTTCTGAGTCTGGAGTTGGACAGATTCAGATTCTGGACCGCACCAAACAGCACAGAGTGGCTCTGGTTCAGACATGGTATGGAAAACAGATTTCCAAAAGGTGGACGAAGAAGGGCAGGACCAGTACATATGAAACAATGTACCAGGAGCACCCCCACACCTTACACAGTCTGGGTCCACCCCTGGGTATATGTGTGCCAGTCTATCCCTGGACCAATGCCCCCGATGAACTATCTTAAATTGGATAAGTGTATGTCGAGCACACATTGATATATTGTGAACCTGGCCAAGGATAGAGTCCCACAGTTCATCCGTAATATGAAAGGTAAGGTCCTTTTCCCATTTAGATTTGATAGCAGCTACTGAAGAGCCTTGTGAATTGGAAATTGAGCTGAGACTGATATTATGCCCCTTGAGGTTGGGTTGACCATTAAAAAATCATCTACTGGATTGTGTGGAGGCATTTGGGGGAATTCTGCTGTCACAGTCTGCACGTAGTGTCTGGCCTGTAAGAACAGAAAAAACTGAGCTGCAGCTATGCCAAAGAGTTTCCCACATGTTTGACTATTAATCACAAGTTTTCTTCTATTCGTGAAATCATTTGGACATAACTCCATTTGTAATCAGATCAAAGGTTGTCTGTCTGCACAGTCGACTGAAGTGACATCAGCCAGGTGTGGTTTCTTCCCCCACAGGTCACCGAGCTGCCCACTACACTGAATTTATTGCTGTTATAATAGTGGACAGACTTTAGAAACTGGGTGTTGTTGTAGAGAGTGACTAACGCCTTTCTGTTCTCATAATTATGACGATGTAGAGGTGTGACTTGTTGTCGAGCACTGTTGGATGTCTGTGTGGTGTCTTGCAGGTGTACGGCAGTTGGAAATCATGTGCTGCTTTGGATGCATGTCTGTCCTGGCCAACTACTTTGTGTTCATGACTTTCTTCCCAGCATGTGTGTCCCTGTTGCTGGAGGTAAGGGCACAGCTCTCCTGCATTTGTCTGACATGTTGATGTTTGTTTCTTTGATTGCTCCTCTTATTTGTTCGTTCAGCTGTCCCGCGAGAGTCAGGGGGGCCATCCTATCTGGCAGCTCAACGATTTGTCCAGAGCCATGGAGGAGGAGGACAACAAGCCCAATCCTGTAACACAGAGGGTCAAAATGATCATGGTAAACGTCTAACGGGTTGCTTAGTGTCTTTGTCTTTCTTTGAAGTGTGTAATGTTTGTCTCTGCTCCACCTTCAGTCTCTCGGCCTGGTCATGGTTCATGCTCACAGCCGCTGGATTGCTGAACCGTTGTCCATAAAGTCTGCGGTGGACATGCTCGGGGTCGGCATGGAGCTGGACCACTTCTCGCCCAGGAGAATTGAGCCGGATAAACCTCTTTGGCAGTTCTACCTCACGAGGTGATGCAATAGTTTAGGTTGTTTTAATTTAACGTTGGCACAGCTGTGATAACTGCCCCATGGAGCGTTGCACATGTTGTTGAGCTGCTGGACGTTTGAGACATAAAGGGCAGAAACTCTGTGAAGAGATGGATGGTCAGGGTCACCTGTGAGGGCAGAGGCTGCTTTGTGTTTATAAGTTTTCCTGTTGTCGTGCTTTTCTGAAGTGAAACATGTTCCTCTTCGTCTCACCTTACAGGATGATAACGATGGACATAGAGCAGATGATCTGTCTGCTCTTGGCCCTGCTGCTCGCTATCAAGTACATCTTCTTTGAACAGGCTGAGATGGAGTCCACGCTGTCACTGAAGAACCCCATGTCCCTCTCCACACACACCCTAAATCCTCCATCCCCATCCGAGCCCTGCTGCAGGGAGGATCTAGTTACGTCACGATGCCACGCCCCTGCTCACGCCATGGCTGTTGCAGGACCTGCCCATAAGGAGGAGAGAGGTGTGTCTACTGATAGCGGTAAAACAGACGCACTTGTTAGCGCTTTGTTGTCAAATTCATCCTTGTTATCCTAGATGAGGTTATCCGGCCGCTGTCTGCTGCCGACAACGATCATCATCCAAGGAGCTTCTTTGTAACGAGGGAAGAAGAATCCAAGTGTGAGAGCACGGAGAACACGCCCCCCCAAAAGCCCAGAGACCTGAACCACTGTGTGGCCATCCTCAACGACCCCAAGGTCAGCCGCTAGACGCAGATCGCTGAAGCCTGAAAGCTGAGAACTCGTCCCACAAACGTTTAGTCATTTTCTTTATTTTGAATCATGCGATATTAAAACTGTTGCCATCAGTTGGGATCTTTTAAAGAATGCTAATAGTTTCCCACATATATCTGCTCAGGCATGCGTTATATATGTGCTGGACTTCAGGGTCGTTATGTTGCTTTGAACGCACTTATGCTAACATTAATGAAAGCAGCTCGTTTCAATCAGAGTGAAGAATCCAGTCAGTTAAACTCCTGACCTCATCAGTCGAGGGTGTCGGCCTCAGCGGCTTTGGTGTTAATGTGGAGAAGAGGGGAAAACAATGGCCCCCAAACAGGAAGTGCTTCCACGTGGAGGCCATTGACATGTTTGTCCTTCCTCATCTTCTCTGAATCATGTCGTTTCCCTTTCAGTTGAAACGTTCGGCTTTATCACGGGAAGACTGATAAGCCCACAAAAAGTTTTGATAATTTAGTAAGAGCAGCTAACTACAGATGGGACGGCCTTCACTTTAAAGCAGACCTGACCCCGCCTACCGCCACCTCGTTCAGTTGCAGTTTGATAAGTTAAACAGATCAGCTCTACTTAAAGAGACAATACCTGCAGTGATTGTAGAGCTGCAGTTTGCACACACTCGCCATGGTAACCTCAGACGCATTGATGTCTTTGAACGGTTCTTTTTCCAACGTGGAAAGATTTTCAAAAACAAGAATTTGGTTCACAAGTTTGAATTTTCTGTCATTTTTGTGGTAAAAGTACAAATACGGGGTCAAAAGTATTCACACACACAGCAGCTGCTTTAAATAAACTCTGCCAATGATGCCAGAATCGGCCGACGTGCAGCTTACAAAGTAACTTTAAACCAAATTACCATGAAATTCAATGAATTAGTGAATGTTTGACCACAGCATGCATGCAGTCCACAGCATTTACTGCTGAGTTATGACTGTGTAGATATTTATATAAGCAGCATGTATGCTAAACTATAAATGGTGTCAATGCCAACAGTCATCATCATTTAATGAACTGGCTATGACCTGTTTTCCATAATGTTTATTTGTTGTGGGGGGAAAGATGAGATGTTTATGAAGACATAATTATTTCTGTCTTTTAGTTATTTGATCTTACTGTATATTATTTATTATCATGTATTTAAAGTAAATCCAGCGAGTGGTCTGTGCAGACTATAACTGATCGTTATGGTTGTTGCAGCTGGGCCCTCGTTTTCTGAGTGATGCTGAGGTGATGCTCCTGGTCAGCTCTAAACACGTCCCCGCCTACAAACTGGAAGCCATCATGGAGACCGCAGAGCGAGGCGTGGCCATTAGAAGAAAAATGTTATCAACCAAGCTTCCCTGTTCCTCTGCGCTCTCCTCTTTACCGTACACAAACTATGACTACTCGAAGGTGAGACACAACCACGTTCTCCTCTGTTGTAGTCGAATTTCTGCCTGAACTGCTCCAAACTTACCTCAACATTTCAAGCAGAGGGCCTCACCGCGGGGAAAGGAAAGGAGGAAGACTTGAGTAGTGTGTTGCACCTGTTACACATTCTTTGTTATAATCACCACACAACTGTAATGACTGTTCACACATCATAGCAAAGTCCTGTTAAGGAAGTAAAGTTTATTTTGATAAACAGGAAGTCACAAAGCGCTGGGTCAAACAAAGAAAACAGGCATCAAACAGATCAAACAAAAGGTCAAAGGTCATTAAGGTTAAAAAACTCAACAGAAGTTTTATTAAAACAAACATTTGTAACTGCAACATCTGACCATGTGAGCCTAGTTATACTGATCATTACCATTTATAATTATCAATATAACTGTAACATTAATGAACACAGAGCAGGGGGAGGAAAGCTCAGGTGTGTTTACAGTCGCACAGGTGACAACATGATCACGTCCTACAGGAGACGCACACGTACACAATAACTGTACACACTGAAGTACACAGTCAGTATAATGAGAGGGGCGTCTCAGTGTGAGCTACTGTATATGTATTTAGCTGTGTGTCATATATTGGGACATTTATGAGCTGCTCTGTTGTATCTGTGTTATTTATTTTAGTTACTGTCCTGAAGCACCTGTGACCAAATGATTTCCTCTGAGATTAATAAAGTTTTCACTTTCTTTTCTCTCACCTTGTTTACTGGGATGTCGTGGTCATTTCCAGTACAGTATTCATTTTCTAAGAAAGTATTTTGGTAAAAACTTCGATTCTTAGATTTAAAATAAAATGTCAGTGAGTTATTTTGAACACAGTTTTGTTTTCCAGGTTGTCGGCACCTGCTGTGAGAATGTGATTGGCTATGTGCCCGTACCTGTGGGTGTGGCTGGACCACTACTTCTGGATGGGAAACAGTTCCAAGTTCCCATGGCAACTACAGAAGGCTGCTTGGTCGCCAGCACCAACCGCGGCTGTCGAGCAATCGCAGTGAGTGTTGCAGGTGTTGTTACTGCTGCTCTGCATGTGCTGCAGCATGAACGCAGTGAAAACACTGTGAACCATGTGTTAATATTTACCATATATATGTGTGTGTGTGTGTGTAGCTGGGTGGGGGAGCCCGTAGTCGTATCTTGGCTGACAGCATGACTCGGGGCCCTGTAGTCAGATTACCCTCTGCCTGCCGTGCTGCTGAAGTCAAAGCCTGGCTGGAGAGCAGCGATGGTTTCCAGGCCATCAAAGCCGCCTTTGACAACACCAGCAGGTAAACTGGTCTGCAGTGTGTGTTTGTGTGTGTGTTTGTGTGTCTGCAGTAGGGCTGCCACAAACCATTATTTTGATAGTCGACTAGTCACCGATTATTTTTGCGATTAGTCGACTA